TGCGTGTGCATAGCAGCGGCGGCCAAGCTGAGATTTTTTCCCTCCTCCTCCTTCAATCCTTGTAACTCCAAAGGCTCCTAAGATGACTTTTTCAGCCCCAATTTCACCACTCCTCATGGCACCAATGAAGCTTTTTTATCCCACCTCCTTCAAATCTCCAATACCTACTTCAAAAACTCCACCCAAGAATACCAACAAAATGATCTTGAAAGATTTCAAGCCTTGCCTCCCTTCTCCTAAGTCTTAATGAAATGGAAAGAACTTAGCTCACAAGAATGGACTCTCAAAGTTTTCAAGAGATGGGTGTTCAATCTCAAAGTGAATGAAATAGGTAGAATGAAAAAGAATGTCATATTTATAGCCTAGGATTTTTAAAGAGGAAAAAACCCAAATTGAAAGTTATGGGCTCTTCTAAAAATCCTAGTAAAAGTGGAAAAAACTTGAAGCATGCAAAGCAAAAATGCATTGTGGACGAAAAGAGTCATCTAGCAGAGGAAGTCTCCATTACTTATAACTCAAGGAGCAAACTAATGCACCATTTTCCAAGTTTCCTTGAACACGGAGCATTGGGGGGCAAATGATGGGTCAAGTCCAAATGGCCCAATTTATGTGGAAAGTCCAAATCTCAATTGAGGAGCCCAACTTCGTTAAAGATCCACTAAGCCCAACATAGTCCAAAGACCAGTCAGACTCTCTGCTTAGCCACGTCATCAAGAGGGAGAGCATGGGGGCCTTACCTGCACCGCAGAAGGAAACGGTCCACCTTCACCTTATCTTTAACTGCATCTCATGAAGAGCTCCTCAACCACCTCGCCCGTTGAGAAGAAGTCATGAGTTCTACCGAAATGGTTGCTTAATTGCTGAAAAATAGCTCCAACTTGTTAGGGGGCTACTATAAATTGCACGCGCCACCAACACTTGGGGGCATCACACTTTACCTGAGAACGACTCTTTCCTCTCCCAAAAAGCTTGTCCTCTCTGCTTCCCACACCCTTGAGTTAATAAAGTACTCTGCAACCAAAGTCATTCAAGAGTGGACGTAAGTCAAGTTGACTGAACCACTATAAATTGCTTGTGTCTCTCCATCTCCTTATATTATTTCTTGCATTTATTATTCACACTTGACAGGTGGTGTACAAAACCATTTTATGCATAATCAATATGTGTAATTTACTCTAATTATAATAATTTTTCAAAACAAAAAATCACTTTTATTTTTTTGAGAATATACTATTATTCATTAATGGGTAAGTAATATCATTTTATATCCATGCAAAAATACCACAATGATTATTGATAAAAGGATAAATTGTGCTTCTATACCAATTTTAGTCTTATTTAGTAGCTCATTGTGCAATTAAGTATTTTGATGTGGTTTCATGTGTGATTAAAATTCAAACAAAGTGAAACACATTCACAGACAATATAAAACAGTTTCTCATCCGATTTGTAGCGAACTTTTGAATTAGGGTAGTTTGAAACTAATACGTCTAGTTGGTGGTGCAACATGAGAGGCACTATATTTGATAAGGTAATACAAGATTAGATGTTTTAAAATTATTTTATTTTTTTTGGGGAATATCATATACTTATCCATCCATTAAAATCTTAATTTTAAAGATTGGCAAAATGCATTTTGATTCTTTCAATTGCCACTACTCATGTTTTTCATATTGTTCTTTTAACTATCATATCTTTTATATTGTATCCTAAATCATGCAATAAATTTTACATCGCTCTAATTATTATCCTTGAAGTTCAAACTATGTGATTTTTTTTCGACACGTTAACAATTTACGTTCACAACGATAACAGATATTTTGTATTTGAGATAATGTGAAATAATTCAACTACTTGAATAGATAATGTAAAAAATTCAATAGTTTGAAGGACAAGGTAAAAAATTTAATAGTTAAAAAGGACAAAGTGAAATCGATTCCACAGTTAGGGTGAATGTGTAATTTTTCCTATAAAGATTTTATGATTTATTACGGTGAATTTTATTTTGCATCATAAAAGATTTAAAAATTCTCATTTTTATATCTTTATAGATCAATTTTTTTTATTGTACTCTCAATGTATTAAAAATGTTGAAATGTAATCATTTCATTAATTTCTATTATTCATTATGTTAAGGTGATTTTTTTATGAAATAAATAGGAGTTGTTAATGGAAGGGTTATATTGTAATTGTTTTAATACATTGGGGTGAAAAATAATTTGTTTTAAATGTTTCAGGGTAAAAAGTAATATTCCGGGGTAGCATTTATCCTAAATTGAGACCGGGTGGAGACTTCCACGACCATCGGAGAAGGTTGTAGAATACGAAAGAGCTATATATGGTGTTGTTTAATGACGCCACGCGTTTTCTTCCAAGTTATATATATTGAAGAAAACGCGTTGCTTCGTTCGGGGTGCTCTTCGCTACTGGGTTACGATTTCTGATCGCTCTCAGATCTTTCTGGGGTTTCGTCTCTAATTCCGACCGAGAGCTAGCAAAATTTCAATCAGTTTGACGAAAACTACAACATCAATTCAGATGGCTCTAAATCCGCAGTTGTTACCTATTGGGATGCCCGTACCTTTCGTCAACGAGTTGTTCGTCTTGTCCAGAGACGGTGTTGAGTTTGAGGTTGATAAGATCGCCGGGTTAGAGAATCTTTCCTTCTCTTTTTTATCCTTTGTTTTGCTCTGTAATTTTTCATCTCGTGTTTTCTAATGTTAGCCGCTGCTAAATGTTTTCATAGTATGTTGATTATTTTGTTTGATTGCGCGTATTATCTAGGAAGGAATTGACTTGGATTTGAAGTTACATAAAACTTGGATGGATACAATAAATTGCACTACTTGTTCCTCTGATGTATCGGAATGCCATTAGAAACTACAGTTACATAATTTAGGGTTGATGGGTTTTATTTTTGGTTTTGAGAATTTGGAGCTGAATTTAATTCATGAATGGAAGGATATGTAGTTGGTGAAATGATCCGGCGAGTAGTTCTCTCTCTCTCTCAAGAAGAGGAGGGAGAAAAAGTAAGAACATTAAGCTTTGTCTTGTGCAAGGATGATTTGGGCTTTTGCTGGACATCTTTTTTTCCCTCTGCTGGCCTATAGTCTGCTTTCCGATCTGCATCTCGTTGTTGATGAGGGGTGTTCTGAAATAGATAACGCAAATGTATGTGGAAGGACAATTTGTTGAAGCAGGATATTAATTGAAACGAACCAAGGTAGTGCATGATGAGTTAAATAACCCCTTGGTCCTACTTTTTTGTTTTTGAGGGCTGGTGGCTTTTTTGCGCGATGAGCAGAACCCAATGAACAAATGTCAAATGAAGAGAAAGTGTGGCCTGCTTCCTTAAGAAAGTAAGGGGTGTGTGGAGTGATGGTTTGCCTTTTTTCATTTCATTAGTTTGCATATGCAAAGACCTTATTTGGGAGATGGAAAAGAGAGTGATAGGGGCAAATGGGAAAAATATGATACAATTAAAAAAATTTCAAGTAAGGTTGAGGAGGATGGAGTGTCCCTCCCTTAGTGAGGGAAATGATTTAACCCAAAGGGTGCAATTTCTCTGTAAGTATTAGTGGGGATGGTTTCTTGCAATTGGCCTTTGGATACACGGTAAGATTGTAGCTCCACATATGTTTGTTGTAGGTTGCCAGAATTTGCAAAGACACAATAGTTTGGGGTACCGGTTTTATTAGATTGCTACAAGATTGGACGTTGGAGGCATTAGAGCTATTGTTTGATTAGCTTGCTCTGTGTGTTCGCTTTGAAAAAGTGTCATCGTGTCAAAGTCTGTAAGGTCGATTGTCTATATCCTCTTATAGGGTTTGCACATTCACGGAAAAAGGCTATGGCTCCTTTTTCATTATACCCATGCTAAGCTGGAAGCTTTAATGTACCAACACCCTCTTAACAGGGTTTCACAACATTCATGACTAGGTATATTCTATTGGAATTGGTGTTTTATGCATGTTAGTTCTTCATTGCTGCATGGTGTGGGAGTTTTGGGTTCGCCGTATTTCCTTTTTTTGCACTTGTTAGGTCATAGTGCTTTGAACCATAGAGAAACTATCTGTGAAGCACAAACACGCTTTTTCCCCTCACGTATCCATATCTGACACATTTAGGACCTGGACATTTGTGGAATATGCGGAAAAAGTGTTTGATTTTTTTGAATTTATGACACGTCTTGGATACGCCGTGAGACATCTCAGACACGATCGGACTTGTTCCTTGTTGTTAAGTTGAATGTAGCTAACTAATTTGGTGTTATTTGTAGGGGTGCACCTCGTGCAGGACAACTAGAAAAAAAAAGTGTTAGGGTTGAGGTTTTTAGGGTCAGGGTTAAGGTTAAAAAGCTTTATCCAGAATTAATTAGGTTAAGAGCTCGAGTTCAAAGGCTTAATCTGAATCCAAGCTGCAATGATGAAATCGGGCTCAACTTGAACCCAACTCCGAGTTCAACCCGAATTTAGGTATTATATTTTTACAAACAATATAAAAATAAAATATAAATACATATTTTGTAATTATTATTATTTAAAGGGAGAATGAAATATGATTTATGAGGATTATAGTCTTATAGACGTTGAAATAAGTTTACACAACCGATATTGGATAATTAAAAATGTCACTAGGAAGACAATGATTTGTCATCCCACATCGAATAGGTAACTCAAATGACCTCTCTCCTTTTCTCTATATAAAGAAGGCTCATCCTTATACCCTTAATTAGTTGTCTTAATGGATTTCATCTTAGTAGGTCTATGTAATTGTCTAACATTGTGCAAAGACTTGCACCTAATTTAAGATTATTGTTTGTTGATTCCGAATTGGGTAACCCGACCTCAACTCGAACTTGTCCGAAATCAACTCGAGTTGAGTTCTGGTTAGGGTTGAAGATTTTATATTTAGGGTTGATCCTTTAACCTGTTCAAGTTGTACCCTTAGATGTTTGTAAACATCGAAGAACCCACAACAAAGTTGACGACGATGACGAAATGGAAGACACAAGAAAGGGTTTGACGTGCAAACTCGACGGGGATGAAAAATTGAGAGGCGTGATGTTACACATGTTTAGAGAGAGAGGTGGGGTGAGGGAGAGGGTTCCTATCTCCGACTTTAGAAATGGAACGAAAATTGAAAACGATGGCCTAGTCTTCTCAGTTATCATCTGTTCATCCTTATCCTTTGATGCAACATGGCGGTTGATTATTGCTATATCAAATTTTTCTTATGAACGCAAATGATCATAAGTGGTGGCAGTTAAATGAAACTATATAATTGGTTTATGGGCTTGGTCTGCAAAAGCAGGCTTTTGTTTTGGATTTTATTTGGCTAATAGGCTTTATTTGTTCAACTATATTTGAGTTATACTCGGGGCCTCGTGCTACTGGGAATCGACATCTAATGAATAGTAAAATTACACACATATTTGCCCCAAATTATTATGGGAAAATAATAATAAATTTGATCAATCTGCAAACTTGTGGCATTAGAAATAATTATATAAATACTTTATTCAATGTGTTTGTAGTCTAATTTTTAGAGAAATGTCGTGTCCGTGTCTATGCTTTTTAGGAAACTATGTTGTTAGAGAGGGAGTGAAGTATGAAATTGTGTCCTAGGTAGAAGGCAAGTAGCAACATTATGTCTATAATAGAGTTTTAAAGGAAGTACATAGGTTTTTTCGATGGGTTCAAATTTTATTTTCCTTTTTTTAAAGTCCTTCTGATTGAAGCATAAATTTTAAGTTCCCTTTATTTTTTGGGTTTTGGGGTGTCCTTCCATCTTGGCTTATTCTTTTATTTTTCTTTGGGATGTTGAGTGTTTATTTTTCTTATTTTTTTTCTTGTTCAATCTCTTTGTGCTTAGAACATCGGTATATTAGTTGGCTTCTGTTGCTTTTGGTGAATTGCTATATATGAAGCGTAACCCCTTGCAATCTGGAAGTCCTGAACAAATCTTAAAGCAGTCTTTGTCAGGAATATTGCTTTTCCCCTTTAGATTTGAAGTGGCCTAATATATTGAAATCGTGATTTTATTCTCTACGGCGTTTATCTTGGTTTAAAACTGACCCTTCCCCTGTTCTGTTCTCCATTCGCAGAGCTGATGGAGGAAAAATTAAAACAAAGGGAACAATCTTCTTGTCAAATATTCGGATGGTCTTTGTTGCAAATAAGCCTGTTGAGAACTTCACTGCTTTTGATATGCCCCTGGTATGAAAAGATTGCCTATGTTCTTATTGTTGTGCACTTACTCTTGCATCATTGCCCTTAGGATATTTCATTGAAATGTGTATTATATTTTTCCTCTGTGATTTCTGCAGTTGTCAAATCTTTCTGTTATACAGAATAAGAAAAAAATGAATAAATAGTAGCATTTAGCTGATATCAACTGGAACAGAATGGAAGACCATGGGGGGTGAATTAATGATCTTCGTAATATTTGTCAGAAGCATAGTTATTAGAACCGACCCGCACATCAACCCGACAAAGGAACTGGGTCAATAAGGTCACTGGTTCAAATGTTAGGTTAACTGGTTGGACTAGTCGTATAATTAAAAATAAAAAGAATTATTATTATGAAGTGACATGATAAAAAGTTATAGTAGTTATAAAAATGACATGTTTTATGTAACAGTAGATCCAATAAAAATATAAAAATATGCACAATTTATAGTTTTTATTATTATTTTTAATCTAAGAGGTATATTTTCAAGGTATACAAAAATTGGAAGAGAAAAGACTTAAACCCATGACCTAATCTTAGATTATGAAACAATTTAAACACAAAGCCTTAGAAGACAAAAGCCATCGAGGAGTGAAAGTATTTTACTGTGATGCAACATATCCCACATCGGAAAGTCCAAGGGATCCAAAACTAAATGTGGTGTATAAGAAGCATAGTTATCAAATCGTGTATCGGAAGGCGTATCGTAAGATACAAATATTGTATCGTATCGTGTATCGTATCGTGTATCGTAAGATACGATGCAATTTTAAATAAATAATAAAAAAATATATATACCTTTGAAAAAAAGTCATACACTCATAAAAAATATAGCATTTCATTAATACTTCACCAACTATTCAAGTTATCAACATAATCCACTACTATTATAATGCAAAGTTCACAACCATAGTTCACTAATTCAAACTTTAAACACCAAAGAGACTTCTAATCCAAATTTCTAACATTCATTTTGAACTCAATCTTCAATTTCAATTGAAAATGCATCATCATCATCATCATTGTGATCGGATGCCAACAAGTCTTCACTTGTCGTTTTTTTTAAAAAAAAATCAGAGCACAAAACGACGTCGTTTTTTTAAAAAAAAAAAAAAAAAAAATTGCACGTATCGTGCGTATCGTACCGATACGTATCGTATCGTAAAAACGTATCGTGTATCGGACGATACAACGCAAAAACGATACATAACTACGATCCGTATCGTTTTAGGGCTGTATCGTACGATACGTATCGCGTATCGTACGATACTAACAACTTTGATAAGAAGTGTATTCCAGCCGCAGCTTCCAGTCAAATATGGCTTGGGTTGGAAAGCTTTCCTTCGCTAACAATGAGGCGAGCCTAGTGAAGTCAAGGCAGTCATTGTTTTAGGTTGAGTTCAAGTATTTTATTTGGAAGTTTGAAAAGTTACTTTTCTATTAACAAAATATATTCGACCAGATTTATGTGAACTGCCTGTTCATCCAAGTTTTACAAGAATCGTCCGGTTTAAATGATTTCCAGAGTGGGGGAATTGCTTGGATGATCCAATTTATGGACCGGCCTGGCTTAGGCATTGACTGGTTGGGCTGGTCCGGTTTTACCAACACCGGTCAGAAGTACTATTTTTCGATGGTAATTATAAGTTACATAACTATTGCCCTTGTCAAGTAACTGCTTGCACTAGTGCAGTGAAAAGGAATGTTTTTTAGCATATTGAGTTTTTTGGGTCTAGATGTGCTGTAAAAAGGGAAAAAAGGGTTGATGTGTTACCCCCTCCCGTCCCTTCTCTTTCATGCTCACACTCACACACTTGGCCGGTATAGATCATGGTCTCAAACTCACATCCATAGCAAGATCTTCTGTCAGCTAATGGCTTCTTAAGCAGAGGTTGTTCAGTGTTGGCAAAACTTGTGCAATGATACTTCAGCCCGTATTCTTCTGGAGTGCGTTTCAATGTCTAAATAAATTCTTTGGGTCAAAACTATATGTTGAAAAAAAAGGCCAAAATATGTCGTGGTCTCTCTCTCTCTCTCAAAAACCATAATAGCATGATCAATATTTTCTGTTCACCGTGGTTTTATACCATTATGGGGGTAGCATGAGTGATATCGAAAAGACCAAGACCCCTGGGTAGGTAAGTACTACTTAATCAATCTCGAATGGATTTTCCAACAAGATCATAGATGCTTCCTTGATGCATATTTAGGATCTGAAGTCAAGACACAAAATTCAGCTGTAAGTACAATTCATGGTACACTTCCGAGGAAAGAAGTGCATATATCTGGTTAATATAATTTGAATGAAATAAAAGGTGAAGATATGGAAATCCGGAATGGTGCCATTCTGTCGACCGAATGGTGACATTTCCTTCAGTCTTTGGGGGAATGTATGGTCAGATTGGGATGCAACCTTAAATTTTCACGCCCCACGCAATCATTGTGGTGTCCCCATACTCTACGTCCTACGACATGATGAGTCAGTCTTTTCCATTGGTCTTGAATGATTAGATTTATCATTTGAGGAGTCAAGAACGTGGAGACTTCAGTATATTGTTGGTACTGATTGATTTTGGGTTTTCTTGGAATGATAAGGTCTAACATTATATACCTTAGACATATAATGCCAATGAAAAAATTTATCATTTCGAATGGAGTGATTCACATTAGTGCCAGATCGTCTACTCTTCACTCTTCACGGTGATGGTTTCTGGCAGTCAGTCTGGAAGTACAATTCGGCAAATAATTAGGTGTCAAGGTTACAAACATGCATCCACCCCTCACTGAACATGAACTTGCTTCCTTTTGCAGCTTTATGTGCATGGGGAAAAATTCAATCAACCAATATTCTTCTGCAACAATATATCTGGAAATGTAGAGCCAGTAAGTACATGAGAAGGATTCCTCTCTCTCTCTCTCTCTTTTTGCATGTGTGTGTGTGGGTTGTGGTCCATTTATCTACTGAGGAGATCCAATTCTCATCACGGCTGATTTCAGGTTGTTCCAGATGATCACCATAGGGCTCTCTACTCCACTCAGTCATTCAAGATTCTGTTTAAGGAAGGAGGTTGTGGAACTTTTGTCCCGCTATTTTTTGCGTTACTTGCTTCCGTGAGAGAATATAATAGACAGACTGGTTCGGGGCCAGAGCCTCGATCAGATCCTTTACAAGCAGCACAAACTCCAGTTGATGAAATGATGAGACATGCGTAAGTAACATTACCACTTACTGGCTATAACTTATGCGACTGATTTGATGCAGGGCATCTTATGTTCATCTATTTTGTTCTTCATTCGCAGATATGTTGATCCTAATGATCCCACAAGAATCTTCTTGCAGCAGCCGACATCAGAGTCTCAGTTGAGGCGCCGCACATACCAGTCCCAACCTGTTGATCATTCTCTGTGATTCATAATCGTCAATGCCAGTATGTTGACTTTGTACCTTCCTTTAAGAAAAAACTACTGCTGTGTCTTTTTAATTTGTATACTAGTTGTATCGCTTTCTGGTACATTTGGATCCGTATATATTGCTTGCAAGAGAAAAAGGGAAATATTTGTAATTCTTAGACCCGTCATTACAAGTAAGACTGTTGGACCAGTGGTATTCCTTGTGCATAGCCTTTGCATCCGGTGACAAATCTGGTTATTTACCAGATAGATATTTGACGTATATTGTTTAGCATAATGCAACGTCTCAATCGGGTTAAAGCTTTGGGTTAATTTTATTTTGCACCTCGAAAGATTGTTCGAATCTTATTTTGTACCCTCAAAGATAAAAAATTTTAATTTACACCCTCAAAGATAAAAATTTGTATCAATGTGCACTCTCAAAATCAAAAATCTTAATTTGCACCCTCAAAGATAGAAATTTATATCAATGTGTACTCTAAAGATAAAAAATCTCAATTTGTACCCTCAAAAATAGAAATTTGTATCAATGTGCACCTAAAACTAAATTGATAAATTATACCTAAATCCCCTCATGTTTGTTAGTTAATCATTTAGATCTCTTTACATTTAGAATATTATTCTACATCTTATGACATTTGTGCACGTATAACACATAACCCATTTTCATTGATATTTATTAATATAACCGTTAAAAAATATAATTTTATCTTAATAAAAAATTATAATTTCATATTACCCTTTATTTTATATGTTCAATATACTCTAAAGTTCAAAATTTAGTTTACCATTTGAATGTCTAATAAAATATAAATATTTATATAATATTTTTCATATTATTTTTATATAAATATCTACGTTTTATTAGACATTCAAATGGTAAGCTTGATTTTTAACTTTAGAGTATATCGAATCCACAAAATAAAAGGTAATATGATATTATAATTTTATATTAGGATAAAATCATATTTTTTAATGATTATATTAATAGATATCAACGAAAAGTGGTTATGTGTTACACATGCACAAACGTCATGAGATATAAGAGGAATATTCTAAATTTGAAGAAGTTCAAATGATTAAATGACAAACATGAGGGGATCTAGGTATAATTTATTAATTTAATTTTAGGTGCACATTGATACAAATTTCTATCTTTGAAGGTACAAATTGAGATTTTTTATCTTTGAGGATGCACATTGATACAAATTTCTATCTTTGAGGGTGCAAATTGAGATTTTTGATCTTTTGAGGTGCACATTGATACAAATTTCTATCTTTGAGAGTGTAAATTGAGATTTTTGATCTTTGAGGGTGCAAATTGAGATTCGAACAATCTTTTCAGGGTACAAAATGAGATTAATCCTAAAGCTTTTGCTTATAAAGCAGTTATACTATGCGTGGAGATACAGGATAGAATTTATGACCCACCATTGAAGACAGTACGTAAAGTGGTGGCCACAACCACTCAGGTGTAGTTCAACCACCTCACTTTTGGATACATGTAGTTGCATTTAGTTGAAAATGATATTTATCACGGGAACATTGTTGATGTAAAAAGCTTAAAATGTAAAAAGCTTAAAAAGGCTGGTTAGAAGAGGCACACAGTGATCTCTTGCAAGATAGACAAGGGAATTAGTTTGTTCTATCTGCTCCGTTTGGTAGAGTGGAAGAAAAAATAGAAAGATGAAAAATAAGAGTGATTGTCTCTTTTGTATTTGATAAAAGGGATGAAAAAATAGTAAACATTAATTTTTGTGTTTGGTAAGATGTAAATTTTTTTTTATTAGAAAAAATATAAATATAAATATATATTTTATCATTATATTTATATATTAAATTAATTTATACATACTATGTAATTGATAAATATGATATATCTATATAATAAATTAGTTAACAAGTTGAATCTTTATTTTCTATATATATTTTTTTCTGAAAAATATCACATCACCCAATTCTATCATTTAATATTTGGTTAATATATAATTTAACACAATTTTTATTTCATACATTATCCATCTAGAATAGTGTATACATATTAAAATTTTTTTGCTAGAGTTATGCATTTTGATAAAATTTTAATGCTATTTTTAAGTAAATGATAGGTAGAAATTAATTTTAAATGATGCAAACAAAGAAATTAATTTTAAATTTGGTATAGTAGGATCAATTTTTGGAACGCTAGATTCTTATGTTTCATCATGCCTTCAGACACGGGTTATGATTAGTATATGTATATATCAAATAATATATATAGATAAATAATATGCATTTTAACGCACGTAATTAATTTTTTATCAATTTTTTCTTCTAATTATAGAGGAATTGATTTTGGTGAATTGGAAAGAAAGTTAATTCATTTATTTATTTTTTTTACCATACATAATATTTTATTTCTTCTTCTAATTTTTTATCCTTTTAATTTTTAATTTTTTTTATTTTGTAGTCCTACCAAATGTAGGATTGATTTTAGTTCTAACATGAGTACAATCCATCTCCTTTAACATTGGAGATGCTTTTGTAAATTTTTTATTGGCGGTACCTATGGACAGTCCTTTTAACATCTGTAATGTTAGGGTATGTTTGGGTGGTCTTTATAGTGGGATTGAATTGCATTTATCAAACTTTTTTAAACTCAAACCCAATATTTTTTATATGACAATGATGACGTAGTGTCACCGTAACACTTAATATTTTTTTTTTCCTATTGGAAGACAAAAAATAGGGGAGAGAAAATGGGGCTAACTTGAGCAATATTCAATATAATGGTAATATTATATTAACATTGATGACATGATATCATCAATTAATAATAAAATTTCAAATGGATAAAGTGAAATTCACTTTGATAGTTACTGGCTTACATAGAAAAAAAATGATTAATTATTTGCTTACATGGACATGTAGTAATTGACTTGTTTGAGGTCTATTTTCTTATTTATCTACATATTATTAGTTAGTGATATTACATGATAATTTCGACGTCATATCACCGCTGCAATGAATATTATTTTAGCTGGCCCTTACTCCAGTCAACTCTCCATCTTCTTTTATTGGATGCAACGATGACACCACGTGGTGACACCATTTAATAATAAATTTTAAATAGGTAAGATGAACTCTATTTGAAAAATTATTAAATAATATGGCAGGATAGTTACTAGAATATGTAAGATTCACTTGTTTATTTGTTATGTTTTTATTGGATAATGACGTCACGTTACAACGATGACAATCGTTGTATACGTAGAATTCACGGGAACGAGAGAGCTGGATCAGGTGTTCGTCAATTGGGTGTCGAGTGTTTTTTGGGTAAGCTGGCACAACTTAAGTGGAGAAAGTAATTGCACTGATCACAGCGGTAGAATGGAGGTGAATAGGTTGCACGCAACCATCGCATAATATCATGTCATCAGCCTTCATCTCACCATTGTTTTGCACATCAGAAATTTTCAATGGACGTGTGTGGCTCCAATGGATGAGCTCTGCTCCTTTTACAAGATTTTCACGCTTCATCTTTTCAACGAAACATCTCATTGGGAAGAGTGGTGGATAAATTTTGAGAAATTTATCAACATTATTCTTACTTTCAACACCTCTGAAACCACAAAATTTAGAAGAAAATTTTATAATTAACAATGCAAGGATGTTGTTATATGTATATATATGGAGAGAGAGAGAGAGAGAGAGAGAGAGAGAGAGAGATCACCACAAAGGCTTGGAATCTGAAGTTGCACACTTCACATGTGTAAAATATCGTCCAAGGGCACAGTAATAAGTCCAAGAATGTTCATAAATGGACTTACGACATATATAGGAGCTTTGAGAGAATCGGGTTAAGTCAGAGTACTGCTCAAGGAGGGTGATGGTGATCACTACGGCTGATGGTATTAGGTAACAATGTACAACTCTTGTGAATCCAGAATTGACATGTCACACATACATGAGATATGTCTTTATCTTCTGCGTGACAAATATTACAATAGAAAAAGGCTGGCCTACTCAGGAGGACTAATGGGTGCTCATGACTTTTATGTGTAATGGTGCGGTCTCCCATGAAACATGACATGCAGATATTGAACTTGCAAGGGGAGCAAAAGTAGTTGAAACTGTACTCCCCAACTTTTCTACAGACATTACATATGTATTTGGTAAATAAACCGTAAGGCGAATCTTCATGGAGGGCTAGTTGGTGGGAGTGTATGGGATCTTTAACCTGTCGGGGGAGTTCTGCACATCTTTTGTGCAGAAAGTAATCACACTTACCACAGCTATACGCAGTGTCCATGATCGAATTCTGACACCCACGACAGATAACTTTTTGGCCTTTATCATTTCGCACTTCCTTGAAGAACAGTGGATGCTCATGGCTGAAATGGACAAGTTCCATCACTATATGTGTTTGTGTGGGTGGGTTGGTACTTGGTATGTATGTGGGGAGAGAGAGAGGGTTTTGGAAATTGTGACAGGGAAAGATTAAGGCAGATAGGTCAAACTAATATAGGGTTTTCAGGCATACAATTAATGAGGGGCTAGATAAGTATATTTTGATTGCGTATAGGCAGGGGTTTGGAACAAGGACCTCCAAAGGAAGGGATGAGTACAGTTTCTGGAAGTTTGAGAAACACTTTGTTCTTTCTTTCAGCAGGAAGAAGATAGAAGCAAGGAAGGATTGCCTGCGACGATTTGAGGTCCGAAAAGCATATCACTAGGACTCAATGGCTTTAAACCAGGGCAGTGGATGATTTTTTCATGGGCTGAGAGGACTTTTGGGCTCTACGAATTTTTTGTCAGTTTAGTTCTTATTTTATCAATTTTATTAATTTGATCCTTAAAATATTTAATCAGTATCACTTTGATCCCTGATCAAAATTAAACAATCTGTCAAATTTTTTGATAGAAGTGACCACATGTCTTTTTTTAGATGGTATTATGTGTCTAACACATGATCATTCCGTTAAAAACTTAACAGTTCGTCTATATAGAGACCAAAATGATAAGAACTGAATATATTAGCGACCAAATTAACAAAATTGATATAATAAAGACTAAATTAATAAAAAATATATACTTTAAGGACTAAAAATGCTATTAATCCTTTTTTCATTTGTTGATATAGTATTGCATGGATTGTTTAAGAATTAATTATTTTTTACTAGCACTTACATTTGACACAATCATATATAATACAACCTAGAATAACATGCATGATTAAAAAATAGTACAATTTAAAATAATGCGACATGACTCGATTGACACTTTTAATAGTGTTTGAAGCTATTATCCCATGTGATTGGTGGAGTCTGTGGTGGCTTAGGATTGCAGAAAAGAAAAAAAGAAAATTTTGGCTCGGTCTCCTCTTGTTATTTTGCTTTTGTTGTTGCTACACTTTTTTCGGTAACTTTGTGGGGGGTGGTGGTGGTGGTTCGCGAGGATGGTGTGTGGTGGTGGGTGTGGGTGGCGACAACTAGTGGTGGTTGGTAAAGAGAGAAAGATGAAAGAGAGAGAGTGGAAGAGAAAATAAAATAGACCTTGAAGAGAAAAAAAAAACGTCTTGAAAATATTATCATTAATGATAAATTTGTCTTTTTCAATAGACTTATCATTTTCAACCAAAAAATCTTTCACTTAGACTTAACGATGCGTAAGCGTTAATCGATGGATCTCTCACCAAATCTCCCTTGTTATATTTTATCAAGACAATACTAATTTGCATTGTTAAGTATGTAGTTGGATATCGTTCGATGTTGGGATTAAAATTTTCTTAATGAACTTGTTCTTTTGACACTAATGGGTGGGAGGGAGGCATGTTGAAGCGTCCATCCCACTTATCACAATTTTTTATTGAAACGATACTATTTCTTCGCTCCAAAATTGGGCTCAACATATCACCTACTAATAAGATAAAAGCTACCTTACATGATTTTGAGGAATTCCTGATGGAAGCTTGATCAATTATTAAGACAACAACAATAATTTTCGTGCGTGAAATATAAAACTAGCAATCGTTCGATCGAAGTCAGGGTCAAACTTTTCTCTTATGGGCTTGACATCTTTTTAACTCTATTGAGTGGCGGCAGGATTGTGGAAGCCCAACCAACATCGCACATTCTCTTATTGAAATGACACTTTTTTCCTCGCTCTACAAATTTTAACAGGCGTGGTGACGTATGATTCGGAAAATGGACTCAACATTTCATTTACGGATAAAATAAAGATAACATGACTTAAATTTTGACCTTTTTATGGATTTACCAATGAGAGGCTGCCACTTCATTGTAAGGACACGTGTCACGGTTTTATTTGGAGTAGGGAAAATGCTGAGCCGAAATTCGTTTAAGTCAAATGTCATTTTCAGCCTTCAAATTTGCTTCTCTGATGGGTCTGGTCTAGTCTAGTCTTGACACCGCCCAAACCGTCCAAGTTTGCAATTTCTTTTTTTAAAAATCCAGCCACTTCAATGTGGCCACGTGTCAGCATATACCTCCAAAGTGAAAATGACAATGACTCAGCGCTGACATTAAATTTTCATATCATATGGCATCTCCATAATAAATTTTAATAATATGTGTGAGGTGACGTTTGATAAAATTAAAAATTAAAATTTTAAATTTGAGTATTGAATTTGTAGATTGTTAGGTATCCATTGAAATTTAAGTATTGAATTGAACCAAATTGTTTTGATAATTACGTAGAGATGACGTCTAAAAATAAATTAATTTTTAGTTTTACCTTTCAATTAAAACTTAATATATATTTTCATCTAGTAGAATAATAACAAATTGAATAATAGAATAAATGAATAATAACTAATAAATAATCAACAAATATTAAAAAAAAATAATAAATTAGATTTCATTAACAACAAATTGAAAAAAATATTTATTTGTATGTGTGTGTGTGTGTGAGTGTGTTTGCATAGAGTGTGTGTCCACTTAATCCAACGTGCTAACTATTGAATGTGGAGGTCATAAATAAGTGGAGTTACACGAATTTTAAAATATTATGCGTTGATAATAACGTGGTATCGGAACTTTCATAAATTAGTGAAGTTACACGAATTATAAGATACCATGCGTTGATAATAACATGGTATCGCGACAAAGCCCCTTATCAATGACTGAATGTAGGGTCCCTTTAAAATTTGAAGGTGTAGAAAACAAGCATGTTTACATAAAATGAACTCGTGAAGATGGATTGGCTTAGCAAGGATGCTCTTTGGTTTCTGGCTTTACATCTGATACTAAATATGTTGCTAAATTGCATTAAAAAATAGTTTGTAGCAACCTTCAATGGGATTGTATTTATCTTTGTAATATATCGCCTTATATTGGCTACAACAGTTCACCCCCCTTAGAGGCCACATATTCTCTCATGTGGGACCCAACCCAATACAATGTCTGAGGTCCCGCTTTGATACCATTTTTTTTGTAACATCTCGTCACACCATCAAGATATTGTGCGCTTTGAGTTGTCCCTCATGATTTTTGTTCATCTGAGCTTTCACACATAAAAGACCTCTCGACAGTTAAGGCAAAGAACTCACATATATAGTCCAAAGATTGTCCTCTCCAAGCAATGTGGGATGGCACACATGAAGCAGTAGCGCCTTAACCTCACCTTAGCACACTTTAACTGGTCTATTGGCCTATTAGTCTTATTGCCTACTACAGTCTATGTGAATGATGTTGTAGACATTAAAAAATTAATTAACAAATTAATGTCTATAATTGGGTTCAAATCCATTAGATAAATGAAATTAGGTTGAAACTAAATTTCATAAGCCCAAATGATATAAGTCTAAATGTAATTAAATAAGCTTGAGTTAGACCTAAATTCTACGGCCCAAATAATAGAAGCCAAAATATAATTAACAAGGCTTGCGAAATTAAATGGACTTAAATTTCATAAGCCCAAATTAAACAAACATTTAAAAAGTTGGACTTAAACTCCATAAATTAATTAAAGCCCATAAATTTATGGGTAGCCCATTATCTAAAGTCCACACAAGAGTATTCAGGTAAAATATCTTTATATGGATAACTACTCATACCACTATAAATAGAGGTCTGAGATAAGCCAAAAGAAAGGAAAAAAGGGAGAAGAAGCCAAGGAGAAAGGAAGATCGGCGCTCGAAGTTCACTAATGCCTTAAAGCCTTGTAAGTTCATCTTCAAGAAGAAGAACACACCGCCAAGATCCTTCTTTAAAAAATCCAAATCATCTTCAAACTATTTCAAACGAAGAACGGTGAGGAGATTCATCAAAAGTATCATCAAGTTAAAGAGCGGGAAATACATTGATCCAGCTCTCGTTTTTATCAAAGCCACCAATTGAAAAGTGAGAAATACGTCAATCCGACCCTCATCTTCACCAAATTCATCAACTTTATCAAATTCATCGAGAATCAGAGGACAGCGCACGCGAGAAACACGGGAAAAGAGAGTCAACATCACATTTTTTTTACTTAAAGTCAATTAAATTGACTATTGTAATTTAACCTTATTTTGTGTTAATTCATTTCACAAACTTTGTCGTTACAGATGTTTTAGGTGCAATATGATAACATCTAATTTAGAATATTTCCAACAGAACATAAAAGATTTAGATTGGAGTAAGGGAGGAAACTTAATCAAAGAAAATACGAAAAACAAAACAAAACAAACGCAACTTAAAAAAAAGGTCCAAATTTGCTTTAAAAATATTTTGACACAGAATGCTAACTTTTAGATGAAGTTTAAATGAAGTGTCAATTACACTAACCTCCCTGAACTATCATCCTTTTTCTATTTTTCTTTCTCAACTATTAGATTTCTCATATTGCACCCTCAACTATTTCATTAGTTTCACATTGTTCCAATCACAAACGTCTACTATCTTTTTGAAAGAAAATTGATGACGTGTTAGGGTAAAGTGAAAAAATTACATAATTTGAAAACAGACGTTAACAAACGGGGCAATGTGAAACAAAAGTGTTAGTTGATGGTGTAATGTGAGAAATTTAGTAGTCGAGGGAGCAAAGTGGAAAATGGGTGATAGTTTAGGGGTTAAAAGTGTAATTTAAGCAGATAAAAATTTGTAAATTTCTTCCCTATTTATGGGAATTCATTGTCACCATGCTTTTTCACGTTTTTGGAAGTATTTTATGTGCTGATGTTAAGTTCATGGCATGAAGTGTTTCCTATCTTGTAGAGATAGAGAAGTTGTGTGGTTGCAGTTCTTCGATATAAATCTGTCACAATGTTCTTTAACGTTCATGAAAATATATATCTACGATGGGGATATAAAAATGATATGGTATATATGCAATGTCTGCTAGCTATGTGGACATGAGTTTTTGTCACAATGAACTTTCACATTTGGGTAATGTAGTTTTCAGTAGTTGTGGCAATTTGATTGATGCGAAATTAGTAAGTTTGAGACTTTGA